TCTGTCTTATGTCTGCCGGCAGGCCAAGTTCGAAGATGGGCTATATCGGTCCACGATATCGTATAGCCCCCATATAACATATATAACCCCCGATATTCGGTATTTTGATGATTTTAGCCACATTTTTTAATGGCATTGTCTGAAATTCTACGCAAGGATTTCTCTGTGAGTGCTTTACTCCCTGAAAGAGAATGGTCTATATAGGACCACGATATCGTATAGCCCCCCATATAAGGGTACCCCAGATATTCGGTGTTTTAGCCACATTTTTTTAATGGAATTGTCTGAAATTCTACACAATGAGTTTTCTTTACCCCCTGAAAGAGAATTGTCTATATAGATCCACCATATCGTATAGCCCCCATACAATGGTGCCCCCAATATTCGGTATTTTGACGATTTAACCACATTTTTCAATGGAATTGGTTTAAAATCCATACAAGGTGTTCCTTCTGAGTCCTTTACCACCTGAAAGAAAATTGTCTATATAGGTCCTAGATAACGTATATCTTCCATAAAACTGTACCTCACGACATTCGATATTTTGATGATTTTAGCCACATTTTTCAATGGAGTAGTCTGAAAATCCACACAAGGAGTTCCCTCTGAGTACTTTACCCCCTGGAAGAGAATTCTCTATATAGGTCTAAGTTTTAGTATTGCACCCATATAACGCTACCCCGAGATATTCGGTATTTTCAGGATTTTTGCGACATTATTCACCGGAATTGCGTCAAATTTTGTATTTGATGTTCGTAATGGGTACTACAGCCTATGACCGAAAATTGTCTATGCCGGTCTTCGTCTTAGTATCGATCTCATACAACGGTACCGCCCTTTATTCGGTATTTTGATGATATTAACGACATTATTAACAGGAATTGTTTGAAGGTCAGAAGCGTTACTACAGCCTATGACAAAAAATTGTTGATCCAGCACCATGTCTTCGTATAGTAGATTTTCATTTGAGCGATATTTTTCGACTGAATTTTTTTATTGAAATTTTTCAAGTTCCTTCCGAATGGTGGAGCGTATAAAAAGTTCGGCCCGGCTTAGCTGCTTTTTTACTTGTTCTCTTTTATGTATATTCGTAAACAATGATGTTCTGTCAACTTATACCCTGTCGGAGTGTGTCTAAACACACAAGATTAACCCTCTGGATTTAAAAAACCCAGTGGGTTAATCTGCAATGGTATAAACGTGCTATATGTGTCGATTTCAGGATTTGAGCAATGTAATTGACAGTTAAAATCCACTCGGTAGGTGTGATCATACTTTAAGGCTAAAGAGAATGCATGGTAGAAGAATACAGGTAGATGCATCGACGCTTGGGATCATTGATATATCAAAATTTTTATTTTTTTTTTTTTTCAAAAAAAAAAGTAAATTTGTATAAGTTATATACGACAGAATAAGTCATATACGACACCAATCGGAGGTTGTAATGATATGCATTTTTCAACAAGTTTGACATATTTGAATAATTTTTCGCTGAAAAGTTTCAATTTTAAAATTGGTTTGACAGTTCATTGTCCCAGCAGATGTGTTTATGCGACTACCTGTATTCTTCTATAATGAAAGAAAGTCTTTTATTTTGAGTAATCTCGTTTCAAACAGTTTTGGAATTCCCAATAATAATTAAATTATACAATACAAAACATGCCATAACCCCCCCCCCCCCCTCCCAAAAAACCTCTCTCATTCTAAACTCCTCTCTCATTCTACTCCACAAATTAATAGCCACATATATCACAAGGAAATAAATTTAACAAAACAGGCAATCGTTTACATTACAAATAAAAATAAAATATACATTATGCGAAATATTTTAACAACAAATTGTAATTATTGTTTTAAACATCAACCTAACTCTCGATAGGCTTTAATGAATAAATTTTATTTACCACAGTTTTATATATATGAACATATTAATGCATAAGTTCCATTAAAAACTACCGCATTTTTTGTAAAGAAAAAATATCAAATATGTTGCACACGCATTGCTCATAAATTGTTATATTTATTAATTTTGTTGTTGTGTCTATTTTTTCTTATTTTACTCATTACAAATGCCGTTCTGACATTAGCTGTAAATAAATCTAATTGTTATATGATTACATATTTTTTATTATTTTATTACTAATATACTGTTAATAAGAAGAATATATATATATATATATAAGTGGAAGAAAAGTTTAAAAAAATAAAGAAAAACTGATTTTCTCCTCGATGTACATTTGAGTGTGTGTTGTCTTATTATCAACGATTTTGGATAAGGTCTAAAAAGGTAAGTTATTTATTATACTATGCAAGACAAAAAAATAATGGGGGGAATGCAAAGCAAATCAAGTGTAAAATAAAATAAATAACAAGTAAAAAAGCTGTAAGTTCAGCCGAGCCGAACTTTCAATACCCTCCACCACTTGGAACGAATTTGGCAATATTCAAAAAAAATCCATTAAAAATTCTGTTTAAATCTTAAAAATACCGAATGTAGCCTTTATATTAGGGTCTATACGATGACGTGGACCTGCATAGGCGAAGTTTGTCATAAGCCAAAATTATATTTAAATGCGAAACTTAAAAAAAATCCGGTGAAAAAATGTAGCTAAAATCATAAAAATACCGCATATAGGGAGGTACCGATATATGGGGGCTATACGAAGACCTTGACCTGAATAAACAATTTTCTGTCACAGGCTGTAGTTCCCATTAGGAACCTCAAATACGAAATTTAAAACAATTCCGGTGAATTTTGTACCTAAAATCGTCAAAATACCGAATATAGGGAGATACCGATATATGGGGGTTATACCTTCATAGACAATTGTCAATGTTGTCATAGGATGTGGTACCTCTTACGAACATTAAATACAAAATTCGAAACAAAACCTGCGAATAATGTCGTGAAAATCCTGAAAATATCGAATATCTCGGTGTAGCGTTATATGGGTGCTATACCAAAACGTAGCCCTATATAGACAATTCGGTTCCAGGGGGTAACGCACTTAGAGGGAACTCCTTGTGTGGATTTTCAGACTATTCCATTGAAAAATGTGGATAAAATCATCAAAATACCGAATATCGTAGACCTATATAGAAAATTCTCTTTCAATGGGTAAAGTACTAACAGAGAACTGCTTGTGTAGAATTTCTGACAATGTCATTGAAAAATGTGACTAAAATCATGAAAATACCGAAAGTCGAGAGGTTCAGTTATATGGAGGATATACGATATCGTGGACATATGTAGATAATTCTTTTCCAAAAATGAAATCAAAAAAATACCGAATAGCGAGGGGTACCGTTATATGGGGACAATACGATATCGTAGACCTATACTGACAATTCTCTTCTAGGTGATAAAATACTCAAAAGGAACTCCTTGTGTGAATTTTCACACAATGTTAGCTTTCGGGGATCAAAGGTTATGAAATCGGGCGATCTGCCTATGGAGACGACTACCAGGAGATGGTCTACCGCAAGAGAAATGACGGGTTGCTAAGCCACGTAATTTATCAGACCAGGTGACACTATGGTTAAGTCTGGCGAACTGTGAAACTCTTCTCTTATTCGGGGGGGAGGTGGCATCCTAGTTTACGGTGCAGAATGTGGAACAGTCAATCTGCTCTACCAGCGCTGATCCCCTCTGGTCATTACTTGGGGGGAATGCCACAACTAATGGTGGGCATTAAAATCTCATAGTACCAGGCGGTTATTGCCAATCAGCAATGGGCTAATATCTGGCAAATAACGCGGTTCACAGCTATTAATCGGCAGGATATAAACATTAACCACCTCTACCTCGGAAGTTCCACACTTAACTGCTACCCCATATATTCCATGTATGGGTAACTAGAGACTAGCTCATGCGAGATAGGTCTGTACTGAACAGAATGGTGTAACAGGAACGCTAATCCCCCACCTCGACTTCTGATGCGATCCTTCCTCAGCTTGGTTTCCTGCACCGCTGCGAGCTTAATATTCTTCCGAATTCCACTATTTCATCTATTTTACCTCGGAGTCCGTTGCAATTGAAATGCAAGAACGATACACAATCCGGAGTTGGAACAGCAACATGTGGCTTAAGATGTAGTAGTCTCGCAAACGCCTTAGTCCGGAAAAGTTCTTAAAGTGCAGCCATTCTCTACATTCATTACATCGCACCGAAACAGATCTGTGGTGGATGACGTTCTGACAAACCGAGCAAAACCAAGGTTCGGTGTTTTATCCCACGGCAGCGGGTTGTACGATTTACGATTTCATTGTGTAATTTATATTTTAATGTGGAATAGGTTTTAACTGTCATCAAATATTGTTGATATTTTTAACATTTTAGAATTGAGTGACGTCTTTATTTTCACTAATGCCCCGGAAACGACATAGACAAGTTCCTATCTAACTGAAGTTTCGATACTGTAGCATTCTGTGTATCCCTTGGCTTACACTTGTTCTTGATGACAACTCGCCAAAGGATTGTAGAACTTTTCTTGTTTCTTATGTTTCCTAGACATGTTAGGTTGTTTTTAGGGGGAACCACATTTCGTCAATCGTGAATCAGAGCTTCCTTCTTAATCATCCCTTCCAAATACAACCTAGAGGGATTTAGGTATATGACACTCGATCCCTTATTAAAAATAAAGTAAAAAAAAAAACTATTTTAGTTTTCTAGATATTTTATTTTGTGTTGAATTTTTATTAAATTTATTATTTATTTTCGATTCATATACGTATATATATATATATATAATTGATGTTAAAAACGATACATTTACACTTCACTATATCGTCATTTACATCGTCAAAATCGGGTTCGAGATATAAGTATTTATATATTTTTGAAGAATTGCATATTCCTTTCGAAGAAAAAAAAAGAAATGGATGACATCTATATAACTAGAAATGAATTAAATACTTTATGTGGGAAAGAAACCAAGTATTTTTTCTATTGTTGTAAACTGTATAATAAATGGGCTAAAACTTATTGCTTCAAAAATTCATTATTTTTTTGTTGTTTTTTATATAAAGTTTTATTGCTTTATTTTTCATGTTTTCATTAAAATGTATTTATTTCGTATGGGGGATTTTATTAATTATTGTTTTTGTTATTGTATATTAAAAACGTTATAATTGTGAAATGTTATTTTTGTTGTATTTAAGAGCAGAAAAATCAAATTTTTAATAATTTTCATTTTCGGTGAAATCAAAATGAACCAAAAAAGAAAACTCACAACGAAACGTTTCATTAAAAGTAAACAAAATATAAAAGGGTGGTGACCAGTTCAAAATTTCTATAAAGGAATTAAAACAAAATTAAATCATAAAAAATGTGATGAAAACGTTTTGCATTGAGTTTTGTTTTTTCTTGTTCGTATCATATTTCGTTTTTAAGAATTGTTAAAAAAATAAGGAATCATTTAGTTTGCCCTCGTGTTTTTTGGTTTCTTGCGAGTACAAATATGTTTATATTGAAATGTGAACATTTTTTCAAAATGTTAATTGCAAAAAAAAAATAAAGAAGTTACGCATATATAAATTAAGCTTTTTACAATGGCTTACACAAGAGAAAAAAAATTAAGTAAAGTAAAGATGAGAAATTAAAAAAAAGAAATCAAGAGAATTGAGTTGAGAAACGAAAGCATTGTGAGGAGATGACTTTTGAAATCTTGTAAAGATGGTATTTCAAAAGAAATTCCCAAATGCCAGTTGTTGGATGTATTTTTGGCTGAAATTAGACAAAAAACACACACATTATTGGGAAAAGAATTTGAATTCTTACCTTGATTGTAAACGATATTTGCAGTCACCACTCCAAGGTAAACCACATAGATGATTAATTGGTCCAAGGTAAACAATGTTCCCAACATAGGACAGCAATGTCAATCCAGCTATATTTACCATTTCTCGGTCATCACTAATAATACAATTGGTTGTCGTTTAAATAAGAAGTTGTAAGGAAGAAGGAAAGATTGTTTTGTTTTGTTTATGTTATCCTAATGTTGAAGAGTAAATATAGACTAGTTGTTGATTTCTGGTTGTTCTTGTTGTTGTTGTAGCTTTTGTAAAATGAAATAAACTACTCCACTCGAGAAAAATCCAAACACTCTCTCCTCTCCTATCTGGCTTGGTTGGTTGATTGGTTTTGTTGTGTACTGTCGATTCTTAGATGGATAGCGTCATAGTACACCATTAATAGAAAATATCATTTGTGGTCTTATAGTTTCCTTTTTGGCGGCAGCTTTAATATTTTTTATTAAAGTTGCGACGATTTCTGTTGAAACCACCACCACCGCCGCCACTGTTGCGTGAACGCTGGCGATTATTGTTACCACCGCCACCATAATTTTGTACTTTGGCCGAATATTTGCCGGATGGCGGTGAGTAAATTTTCTGATCACTTGCATTTTTTGTTTTCTTTTCCTCATCTTTGCCATTTTCGGTTTTACCATCGAAAGTGATGGGTGCATGGCGCTTGGAGCCAATTTTATTCTAAAAAGAAAAAATAGGAAGTAATAATTTAAATTAATAAATGTTAGCTAGAGCTAATTTCGGTGAGCATATATGATAGATAGAAATAGTGGGAAGATAGAATAGTGGGAATAGTACTTATTGTTAAAATTTTCTAGTCATATCCAACAATACTCACATTTTTTCGCTTAACCCAGGATAGTTGAATTTCATGTTTGAAACTGGGCGGTGAATGGAAAAGATCACGTATTAAAATGCTTATATTTGATGTTGTCTTCAAAGCGGTAACCTTCAATTGATTTTCTTCAGTCTTTAGTTCTTCGGCGGTTTTTCCTTTAACAGCTTCTTCCAATTTTTTAATATATCTGCAAAGGAAAGTGGAAAAACAAAAATTTTAAATAAAATTACATAACTTAGCATGGCAAACTTACCCCTGTGTTCCACGTGCCAAATACTGAAGTCTTGAACGGAAATCTTTTAATTTTTCAGCATCGGTAACAAATGTCAAACTATCCGGGTGTTTTTTACCCAATGTATGTAGAGCATAGAGCAGACATTCAGCATGTGAGAATTGAAATGAGGGTGGTGGGCTGCTGGCATCTTCTTCCTCTGAGAGTTTTGGCAAGGGCATATATTCCTATAGAAAAAATCATATTTAAGTGATCTATTCGGGAATTTAGCGAGCATTATTAAATACATACCCTCAATACTTGATAGACATTGTCAATACGTTGTGCGGCATTTTCCAATACATCTGTGTATGTGCACATTTCAGCAAATACTTTCAATAGACGTAACTGCACCTGATCCTGGGCCACAGCTGTGGCAATCATATTCCATGTACTCAATGGTAATAGTTTATCGCAAACATAAACAACAAAATCCGTTGATTTGATGGTATTCTGTGATGAAGGAAAAAAATTAATTTAAGACTTAATATTTTATTATGGAAAGTTTTATAATGAAAAACTTGGTTTGAAATGTTTTTGTTTTATAAAACCTTATGTATCTAATATCCGAATAACTTACCGAGAAATATGGCATTGCATGTGTGGCACACTGTATAAATCGTTCAACAATTTCATCTTCAACTGTAATGGCGTCAATATCAGCATTTAGTTCAGCTTGTTCTTTTGCCAAATTAACTAATTCAGCGTGTCCGGTAATGGTTGTACCCAATTTTGTGCTACCCAAAATCGTCATGCATAATTGAAATTCATCCGCGGTTACATCCTAAAAAAATACATTTGAAAGGTAAAAAAACACAGAAATATTTATGTAAAAGTTCTAACTAAATAAAACTAGATTAAAATTGTCAAATAATGTATGTGGAGAGATCGTTATAAAACTGCCATTCAATACAAAATACCTCTACCGAAGAAAGATATGGCATGGCAAAAAAAAAGAAACAACATCGAAGACTATGTATCTCAACTGGTTCTTCACCTATTCAAGAGAAGATTCGCGGCAATGCCAAACACTTCACACAATGACAAATAGACTTTGCTTAGTCTCTTTATGTTTTTGTTTTTGTTAACCTTTTTAACCTCTCTTAATTATACTAGGTGTTCACAACTTAAGACTAGAGAGATTTTTTAAAACTAATTAGCTACAACGGATCAGCTGACTATTTAAGTAGACTGCAACGTTGAGATGTATACAAAAAAGACAAAGAACAAAAGAAAAATCCAATCGTAAAACTTATCAAGAACCTAGATTGTTGTTGTATATTATCGCTAAGGCAGACGCATAACTCATACATTTTGTTGGTCACCATATTAATCAAGAAAAAGATTTGGAGCGTCAAACAGAATGTTAGAATAATTTCAAAGGAATGAAGAAAAATAGACAGCAAGAATGGGGGCAAAATCAAAACCCCGACAGATCATAGACTAATGCGGCGACAGGGCGATGTTAGGACTGTAACACTGTTATCCCATCTTGAGGTCAGATATCTGATACTGCAGTGACCAGTCAGATTGCCTAGCGCTATACTTAGATCAGACCTACTAAGAAGTAGAAGGGGGCTTGTTCTTCTTTTCGAGATTACCGTCCACATGGCTTTAAATACCCTTCAACCGGTTTCCAAGTACCATCGTCTTCCAGCTTCTTCGATGTGAGATTTTTTGAAGCACCTAACATATGTCTGGGAACCCTCTTGCTATTTCATTCGCCACCTTAATCCCCACTATATTATATTCTAAAACCCAACAAAGTTTAATGCTTTCTTGCACTCAAGAGTGGCTATCGATTTAATGGCACTTGACTTGATAGCTTTAAGGGCCTACAATGCTATTGCATAGTTATTTTACAATTTAACCTTCGTGATTGCAATAATCTCCGCCTGAAAAACGCCGCAGACATTGGGCATTCCAACAGGACTCACCAGCACCATCGCACTTAGCACGCGCCACCCAAGAATGTTTACAAAATGAGGTTCCTCGCTTCATTTCTAGCGCACAATGGCCACCAAAATCTACGGATACCAATCCGTTGGACTGTTGTGTCTGGAGTATTTTGGGAAGCAAAGTTGGCACTAAAAAATACCAAAGTATCGATCACCTCAATCAAGGCCTTCGCCGGGAATGGGCTAAAATACCGCAGAGTAACATTCGGGCTGCGTGTGACGGTTTCATTGGCCGTTTGAAGGTCATTATTCGTGTCAAAGGTGACCAATTCGAACAAATCTAAAATTTGATGCTATTTCCGACATTTTTTGCTTTCATTCAATAAAATTTTAAAAAAAATGTAAAGTTAGTAAATGTAAGACCTTCACCTAGGATATGTCTAGGATTCGTGTATGACCAACCGATGAAGAGTGCTATTCTCCCACTTTCCGTAGTTTCAGCGCACTCATTCCTGCTTGATATTGAGCTAAAATATCCAGTGGCTGGAAACTTAGCAGTGCATTCAATTCAGATTGGAAAGTGCTCTTGAGAGTTCAAGTTGCCAGTAAGGAAGCGACTCTTTGTACTGTAGTTGATTTTGACATGAATGGCCTGGACTCAATCGCAAGTGCCCCGGATTCATTAAAAAAAAAAACTGGAGTCGAAGTATAACCTACTTTCGGAAAAAATTATGTGGTTGTAATCAGAATCTCAAGGCATTCACATTGATGCCTGTATTTTCTTGGTGGGTCATAAAATTATTACAAAGATATTTTGGAAAGATTCAAAACATCGACTTTGTAAAAAACCAGGTGCAAATATTTTTTTTTCGTAGCAAACAAATTTCCGGTTTTTCTTAATGGAATTACAGGCTATAAAATTTGTTCCGTTCTATATCCTTAGGATTTTTTCTATTAATATCGTAGAATTTTTTCCATTATTTACTTTGCTTTTCTCCCGACCAGATTCTATTTAATTTTATTCCTCTACGAAATATGTCTTTTAACATTCTGTACTTTAAATTCTCATATCGGAAGAACACTATCCGCTTTAGACTGAGTGAGATAATTTTCAGAGAATTTAATTTTGTATCTAAATTGAACCAATTGTTTCAGTACTTAAAGTTTCAAAATATGCGATATTTTTTTATAAATTTTCATTTTAGAACAACGCATATAACTTACCTGTAAAATCTTTTTGATTTCATCAATAAGAAATTCTTCAATTTCCTTTGTCACCACAGTGGGTCCCATGGCAAATAGTTTGGTGGCAATGAATTTGAAGCATCGCTCACGTGTTGCCTCATCGCCGGTTGATATTTGTGTAAATACACCCGTAAGAGAACCCTTGGCATCCATCTAAAAAATGTAGGAAAAATTACAAATTAAGTTAATTGTTAACAATATAAAAATAAACAGTTTTCCCAACCTTAATGATTGTCTGTAAAGAATTATTCACTTGCTGCAACTCTAATGGATCGTCCAAAATAAGGAGTTGGGCTAAGATATCGCCAACTTTGGAAGTAATACCAACAGTGTCTTGGCATAATTTTGGTAAATCCTTAATAGCTTGTCGTCGTATCTGAAATAGAATAACAACATTAAATGCTACCAAAAAGCCAAAAAGATTATGTTCAGAATGCTTACCTGCATATCATCATCTTCACACAAATCCAACTGAGCATCTATGGCTGCATTAGATAAATCGGGAAAGTACTTAAAAAATTTACCAATAAATTGTGAGGCTAAACGCTTCTCTTTCGACGAGCCCTTGACAGCCTTCAAAATGTCTTCGTATTCTTTGACGTGCTATTAGAAAAAAAACATTTGTTTTTTTATTTTTTACCCCATATTTCCCTCTAATACATACCTCAGATACTTTATCACCAGCTTCAGACAAAATTTCATAGCATTTATACAAATGTTCAATGTTATCCATGATTAGTTTTGCTTCGTTTTCTTTTAACCTCGCTATTCTCTATGTGACGGCAATGTAGAATAAAAATAATGTGAAGCGGGCTTGTTTTTTTTCTATACTCCGCTCGTCTAATTGTTTTTTAGCTGGTTGAGTAAAAAATGGTGGACCGGTTTAAGGTTTTCGAAGTACCTTAAATTTAGTTGTCTCTTTCACTTAAAAACAATTTCAATCGGCCTATTATTTAACTATTCTTTTCAATACTATGTACTGTTCCACACTTTTGTCAATAAATTGAATTGATATTTTCTGTCAGCATCGAAAAAATTACTAGCGTGTATCTCGTTAAGAAAAAATATATGCGCCGCGTCTCGTTAAAACTAGGGGTATGTAGGTCGACTATCGATTAATCGGCTGTTCGTGTTGAAAAGTCCCTAGTAATACACACACAGTCAGTTATGAGTGTCATTTTTGTGCAAATATCGATTGCTTGCAAGTGTGGCATCTCCTTCATCAGGAAATCACACATTTTTTGTGATTACGAAGAATATATTGATTAAAAGAGTAAAAAGAAACATGTCATGATCATTCAGAGTCTATAAATGTCTGTCAGAATTAGGAAATTTGCAAGGTCCTTTTTGTCAGGAATCAATATTAGCATTAACACATGGATTTGTGCTTTATGCTAAGTTCACATTGCACGTGATTCGTTCCATTCAAATCACTTACAGAACTAAGATGAAATATATACCAACCCGAACAAATGAGAGCATTTATCGAAAATATAAATTATGACATTTAATAATCCAAAACAGAAAAAATTTTATGAAATTTTTAAAATTTTCAGGAAGACTGAAAATTATGAATGAAAGCTATAATGTTGAACGGCGTATGTGCATTCAAACGAAATTAAATTTTTTTTTTTTTTCTCTCATCCGAAGTACCCTTTTTGTGCACGAGTTGGAATTTCGACAGAAAATTGGAAACAAAAGAGGCAATACTTTCAAAATTTTTGACAATTGACTCTCCAACCGAATTTAAAAACAGAAAAATTTTATGTAAAATGTCAACATTTATACAAAAAGTTCAAAACATGAATGACCTAAATGACGGACCTAAAAGCCCAATAAGACAAAGTCTTAAATTTATGAACGAAAATTGTTAAATGAAAGATAAAATAAATCTTTAAAGGAAAACCAATAATTTATTCTATTGTTATTAATGCTGCTTTCATGTACTTTCGTACAAATTCCTATAAAAATCAACAAACAAAAAATTTGAAAAAAGGAATTATGTTACTATGAATTACAAATCGATCCGTATGAACGGTTTAATTCGTGTACCTAACTTTGAGATTGAACAACGTGATTGAAACTGCAATGAGAACATATCATAAGTCGAACAATCGACTGCAAATAGTCGAGTACTCGGTTTTAACCCAAGTCCATAGTCTAATTTGAGTTTCAGAACTTTGAGTACTAAAAGTCGATTATTAGATTAATCGGAAGTCGACTTACCTATCCCTACTCCATCAGAGAAAAAGAGGCACATTTTTAGAAATTATTCGTCGTATTCCGGAAAAAATTGTTCTGATATTTGACGTGTGGATTTAAGAAATTTTTGTTTTTTTTATAAATAGAGTTCTTGTTAATATGCCGGACGAAGTACAGCAAACATTTGTGCGTAGCTTTATCGACTACCTAAAGAAACAAATCGATTCACAAGCATTTTCTCCAGATGCCCAAGAGAGCTGTGAAGTGGCAATTCAATGTCTGCAGGCAGCCTTTGATCTGGGCGAGGAAGAAGCGGTGGCCGAAGAGCAGTCACAGACAACAACAGCGCCGGCTGGTGAAACGGGCTCTTCCGATGCATCCAGTACATCCAAAGTAAATTCCAAAGAGGTGAATCTTTACGAATTGTTCGAAATGCATTATGTTGAAAGAAATCCAGAAATTTTGAAAATGACAGAGGCAATAAAGAACGAAGGCAATCGTCTGATGAAGGATGGTAAATACAATGAAGCTTTGCTGCAATATAATCGTGCTATCACCTATGACCCCAAGAATCCGATATTTTATTGTAACCGTGCTGCAGCGTACATAAGATTAGGTGACAATGAAAAAGCTATTACAGATTGCAAGTCTGCCCTGGTCTATAATCCAAATTACGGTAAAGCCTATGGCCGTTTAGGTATTGCATATTCCAATTTAGGCAAATATGAAGAAGCCCAGAAGGCTTATGCCAAGGCAATTGATCTGGAGCCCGAAAATCAAGATTATCGCAATAATTTGGAAGTAGCACGCAATGCCTCCATGCATGCCACTGCAAATGTGATACCCAATTTACAGGAGGGTCTTAATGCAATGATTTCCAATCCTGCCATACGTAATTTGTTCAGCAGTGCCGAAATAGACTTAGAACAACTGCAATCAATGACACAAAATCCTATGGTCATGAATACCATTGGTCAATTATTTTCTGGATTGCAAGGTGGTGCTGGCGGCGGTGCCAGCGCCGGTCTTGGCGGTTTAGCCGGTGGTGCTGGTGGCGTTGGGCCCATGCCAAATGATATGTTACAATTGTTCCAAGGATTTGCTCAACAATTAGCTGCTGCTAGTCAAGGTGGTGGAAACTCGGGCAATCAGAACTCTTCATCGAACAATGATCAACCTCCTCCTCCACCACCATCGTCGAACTACTAGGTTGGCAAGAATATATGACGAATGACGAATTTGTTGGGTATTTTTTAATAGACGTCACAATATCTTACATTTTATAATTTTTTTAGATTCTGTATTATTTTTTATTCATTTAGCATTTGCACTTATAAAAAAAGAAAGTGAAATATGTATAAAGAAAAAAAATAATAATGTTCATGTTTCTTCTTAGACTTTTCGTAAATACGATGAAATCTTCGAAACAACATTAATTTTAAATATATAACAGACAAAACAAGGCTTATGTATGCAAATATATTATATAAAAATGCTTCAAATAAGCGAATATATATAAAAAGAATTAATTCGCTCGTTTTTTTATTCTTGAAAGATTTACAAATTTTTTTTTTTGTGTTCTTTTGAACAAAATGCAGGTCGCATTGGTAAGAATGGTTCTCATTTAGAAATAGCTCCCATAAAAATTCAACCGATTGCGGGATAATTGTGCACTAAATAGCCAATATCAGTCCAAATGACCTGCATTTTGGCACATCCGGCCAGTGTTTTAGTTACTCATATTCGTAAAATGCACTCCACAAGAATGATATTTAGTACCAGATATCAGGTACAGACCAGAAATACCTCTGCCAAATGTTTAAATCGGTTCAGATATAGATTTAGCTCCCATATATATTTCATCCGATTTGGTCTTTAAGTCCCTCACATTCGTAATATGCATTCGACAACAATGATATTTGGTACCAGATATTTTATGGGGCTCGGAAATACATTTGCCAATTTTTTTCGAAATCACCTAAGGTTTGAATATAGCTCCCATATATATCCCCAATCAGATTTCAGGTTTATTGTGCAAACAATGCAAATATCAGCCAAATGGAGTAAATTTCGGAACGTATGTTTCCATTTGGCGGAACACGGCTCCGATATATATATTTTTTAATATAATCCTTATCGAAATGATATCATGCACTCTATAGCAATGTTAGCTGGTATAAAAGATAAAAATATCTCCATCAAATTTAGTGAAAATCAATTAAGAATTGGATATGCCTCCCATATTTTGGTTCCGTCTGAAACCAATTCATAACTGCTCTAAAGCCAAATGTTGATAGGTGGTATGATCTACTTCAAAAAAATTCTTTGTTACTGGAGCTCTTCTAAATATACATAGTGGTGTAGGGTATCATATAGTCGACTTTTGACTTTTCCTTACTGGTTTTTATTTTAAAATCAGCTTTTTAATCATTTCAATTTGTCTTTAGTTATATGAATACTTCCAGGGTATCGATGATATCTTGACGGCATAAAGGACAGAATTTTGTCTCTCGTTCGGCCATTATATGTTCTGCACAATTGGAGCATAGACATATGTGTTTACAAGGTAGGAGGAGGATATTTTTTGCTCGCTCCATACACACAATACAGTTTATGGCGGCATCAGAATTAGCTGCCGACACAACAGAAGTGGTGCGTTTAGTGGTTAAATTCTTTCTACGGGAGATAGATCGAACAACCTGGAAAAGCAATGAAGAAAAGTAAAAATCAGCCTTTTTAAAATCTAAAGTCATTAAAAATACCCACCCGTTTGTAAATTTTAAGTGAAGTCAAAAAAAGACCATTCAGCCATGGAAATCGCTTGGACTTTTTAATTTTCCTTTCTGATGACTTACGTCGACCACCTGTTAACTACGCATAGACAATATTATTTGATTCTAATTATGCCATGATATTATATGCATTTAATTTACCCTTTTCAAAACGTTACTAAAGCTGGATACATTGTTACGTTCATTCTGGGGACTTCTCCTCTCAACAAGCTTTGGAAGTAAATAAAGATTTTGTTTACCTTTCTTGATATACAAACATACATACATACTTTTCTTAAAATTACAAATGGTCCCACCACAACCAGGGCAAAGTAACCAAAGGCAATTTTTCGTAAATCGGGATGACATAAAATCACCATAAGACCACAACAGGTCACTAATGCCTCCCAATGGTAGGTTTTCGAATGAGAATATAAATCCATTGTGAAATTGTGTTTGGTGGCTGCATAATTTGCCCGTTAATTGGGAGTGCCAAAACGCTTATCTGCGCCACAAAAGCAATTGAACGTTGACTTCTTTGTTTACATTTTTTTCTGTTTTAACATAATACGAATAACTAAAACCACGTTTAAATTAAGTCGGTTCGATAACCGTCTGCAGCAGTTTAATCGATAACTCTTATTGGCTAAACAGAATAAGTTTAACAATAACGTATTAATAAACCGATCCCGAACGAGAAATACAAATTTCACCAAAATCACCTCTCAGTTTCTCTCATAGTAGAAGAACATAGGTAGATGCATCAACCCTTGGGAACATTGATATGTCATAAATGTTTTGTCAAAAATAGATTTTTAAATATTTTCTCGTACGATGCAAGTCGGAGGTTGTAATATGCATTTTTCAACTATTTTTACAAATTTCAATAATTTTTCATTCAACATTTTTAGTTCCAAAATCAATTTCACAGTTCATTGTCCCAGCAGCTGTGTCGATGCGACTTCCTGTATTCTTCTACCATGGTTTCTCTCTTCAAGAACCTGCAAAAATATACTAGACTCTAGTAACAAGAGTTACAATTTGTAGTTCAAAATTGTACATTCTTGCATTTCTGGAACAGACTAATTGTTGAGACCACACCCAAACCAAGCTCTTGAATTTTGGGAAAAAAAAAGTTGGATATCATCTCCAGTAGTGCTCACCATGTACAGTTACGTTACTATTCGCAGCATCATTGAAGAATTTCGGACCTATGATGCCACCAGCTTATAAGCCGAACCAAACTGTGACTTTTTCTGGAGGCATTGTTAGCGTTTGGAATGCTTCTGGCTGATCTTCACTCCAAAATTGACAAATCTGCTTATTTTCGCAGCCATTGATCCAACATTGAGCTTCGTTACAAAATGGAATAAGCGCACGCAGCACAATAATTTTATTATACCCTCCGCCCTACGTATTATATTAAGTTCGTCATTCCGTTTGTAACTCATTGAAATACTAATTTTAGACCTAACAAAGTATATATATTCTGATCAGTGTGAAATTTTTAGACGATTTAGTCATGTCCTCCCGTCCGTCTGTTTTAATCACGCTAGAGTCAAAACGAATTAAGATAGCAAGCTAAAACTTTGCACAGATCAGTCTTTTGTCAGGTCAAGTTCGAAGATGGGCTATATCGGCCCCCTGGAAGATAATTGTCTATAAAGGTCCACGATATCGTGTATCCCCCATATAACTGTACCTCCCGGTATTCGGTATTTTGGTGATTTTAGCTATATTTTTCAATGGGAATGTCTCAAAATCTACACAAGGAGTTCCTTCTGAGTACTCTACCTCCTGGAAGTGAATTGTCTATATAGGTCCACGATATCGTTTATATGAATTGTCTATATATATACGATATTGTTTATCCCCCATATAACGGTACCGCCCGATATTCGGTATTTTGATGATTAAAGCCAACATTTTTAATAGAATTGTCTGAAAATCCAACAAGGAGTTTCTTCTGAGTAGTTTGCCCATGGAAAAGAATTGTATATATAGGTCAACGATATCGTATATCCTCCATATAACGGTGATCCCGATATTCGACATTTTGATGATTTTGGCCACATTTTTCAATGGAATTTTCTAAAAATTGACGAAAGGAGTTCCTTCTGAGTACTTTATCCCCACATAACGGTATTTTGATGATATTAGCAACATTATTCAACGAAATGGTTTCTCATGACAAAAAATTACTTATGCAGGTTCACGTCTTCGTATAGTTTCCTTTTAACGTTTTTCATTTAAATGGTATTTCTCGACGATTTTTTTTTTTTGAAATTTATCAAGATCCTTCAAAATGGTAGAGGGTATGCTGTTTACTTGTTTAAGTTAATTTTAAAAATTTCGAGGTATTACTTTGATTATTAATACATTGCTAGAAGTTCAAATTTAACAAGACACTTACCCATCCTGTCAGTTTGCCTAATTGGCCAGCAACGAAAAAAAAAAACGTGTCCCAACTTGAAAATATTCGACGATTGTGTATAATCTATTAGAAAAGATAAGTACTGTCATTAGTATTTTCATTTCATATTATAAATTTCACTTCTACCCTACCCAAGATATTGCTTTAATTATCGAAACTAGTGAACTGTGTATCAGTCTGAAAACCCATGCTCTGTAATGCGGAAAATATATCAAAACGAGTAATACCATGTAAGCCGCCGAAATTTCTTCATTAGTTGCATAAGTTCTTATATAGAAATGTGAATACCGGATGTTACGCGCTACAATTAGGAGGGCAGAAAACTGTAACGCACCCTGTATTCCAAGTATCACAGCACACAAATAATCCAGATATATACGGATATGAACAAATGCACTTCAGAAGTAAAAACAACATTTTAGATCGTTTTTTGCTGACATGTATATGTACATATATATATAATCGTAGATAAAATGAGATTTTATTAAAAATATATAAACTTAGAAGTAATTTGTACAAAATAACTCTTATCTGCTAATCTTATTGCATAGGATGACAATATACATTTTTATGTTGGTCAGATTGATGCAAAAACCCACCGAACATCTCGTCCCATATGGTCAGGTATACACCGACATTGAATGCACAATATTTGCCCGACAAAGTGGACAAGTGTGACGTTGAGCCGCAAAGAGGATATAATCTGCACATTCATCGCATAAGCACAAATGCTTACAGGGTAATAGAAGTACACATTTGGGACGGTCACGACACACAACACAGCGTTGATGATTATCTAGAGATTTATCCATTGACCCGGCTGCTGGTGAAACACTTTGACGTGGTAAACGAGATCGGGTGGGTGTAGAATTTTGTACAGTATGAACGGGATTTCGTCGTTGGCGTCGTAATACATGATTGTATAAAGTACGCAGGCGACGAAAACATATAATGATTATCTGCAAGAAATATTTCGGAAAAAAAATATATGAATTTGACAATGAAATATGGAAATTGATAGTTTGCTAATGTTTTACTTACACGTTTTAAATGCCGTATAGAACGAATTATGAATAACACCAGACGTCGTCTGTTGTGCCACAGTACAATTAGCAATACAACTGCGATTGTTATACGGAATATATCCTCGATCACCACAGCGACACTGTAGACAATAGCTTTACGCACAGTTGTTATTATGGTAACAATTGCATCTCCTACCGCAATAACAATCCACAGCAATATCCTTGGCACCAGTGTTACTAACCACCAAGCACAGTCGGCTATTAGCAATAGGGCATTCCGTAACAATTGGAAGAAATCACACACAAACGTTCCCAATTTGGTGGCCAGTAGTTTTGAATGTATGCGGGTATTGGAGAAAAATTTACTCAGGTGACGGCAAAAAATCACCACAGCGTCAATAAAGCTGCTGACCCCACCATTGGCCGATGTCCGTACATAGTGGGAGACCGCACTGGCACTTGCATTTAACTCACACAGGAAATTATATAGTTCTTCTCCGATGATGATTAGAGCCGCAAAGGTGTCTTTTAGAAAATGACATATTTTCAACAATATCAAAAATATTGTCCGTCCAATGTGATAGCCAATGCCCAGGATAAATACACTGACTTTGTGTATAAAGTGCATGAACTGAATGACAGGCGTTACAATATATGTAAGCATATTGGCAGTTTGTTAGTTTGTATAATTGTCAGGCATAGCCTCTTTTTAAAATAATATATAAACTAAAGAAAATATTAAATAAACAATTTGTTTTGATAAATGCCGGCTGACAGTTGTTTGTTTTGTTTTTGAATGCGTAACAGCGTTGTATTGAGACGCTAGTTGGATTGCAACCAAAATAAAATGCGATCCCTTAATGAGGTAGGAATCGCATTGCAAGAATTGTTGAATTTCATATTACTTCCATTTATAGCCAGTTCACAGTGTATTTCATTTGGTCCCTATTCGATATCGACAATTAACTAACGATAAAAAATAACAATAATAAAAGAAAAATTAAGTACGATTTTTTAGAAAGTATAAAAATCAAGAATGGAAAAAAAAAACAAATTCTGAACAAAGCAAGAGTTACAGATAAAAAACATTGTTATTAGCTATTATTTCACCTTTTATATGAAATTTTTGCGTTTGAAAGTTATGGATAGCGGCATAAGTAACATATATTATATAATTGAGTTACAACAAGGAAAGAATGTCAAGCAATTATGTTTTTATTTTAGACAGACATACAAATACGTTTTGTGAAGTTTTGGTTGAAAACATGATTTTGTCTCTGTAATGTCCTATCCTGAAATATGCAGTCATTTCATCGAAGGTAATCACCATGGTATAATTATTACAGGTAGTAGCAAATTCAAATCAGCTGGGGGATTTGACCTATATTAAATGAATCAAAAGCTTCAATTTTTTTCTGATACAAAATTTCACTGCAGAACAATGTTTCTTGCTTACTACAATTATTTTTGCCTGAACAACTTTCATATTAGTGAATATAATACGCTTACACAAAAAAATAAACTTGATATATTAAGCCAAGGAAGTAAAAAAATTAAAATCCTATAGTATCACAGCCCTACACTGATATCATAGTACCATTGTTGCATCTATTTTTCAACAGATTTTACAGGAGTCGAGCATAAATTCAGGGCTGTATTTCAAAGAAATGATGTAGTTTGTTCTAATTTAATTCAGATGTATTTTATGTCCGCAGGACTTTTGGTATTAAAAATGGGGCATATAGGTCCACATTTTGGTATAGTACCCTACATAACAGCAACGGTAGATTTAATGTCTTTTGGTTGTTAAGTCAAAATTTTAACTCGAATTTGCTGTAAATTGGAAGTTTGTGTTCCTACTACGTAGGAAACCTCCTTGAAGCATTCAGAATTTTGATGGAACACACTTTTCACCAGAATACAGGGTTGCCCAAATTCGACGGACCTTTGGGCCCATTCCAATCGAAGAGGCTTGTCCCAGGCAACATTCTTTGCGTCAATTGAATTTTGTACGGGAACAAATGCAAATCAATGCGAATAATCCGTTGTAAAGTGGACCGAGCCATGCCCAACTGCTGAGAACGGCGTTTTTGGGATGTTCTTGGGGACCTCTCAACACTGGCTCGTACGGCAGCGATATTCTCGGTCGATCGCCTTGGTCGACTTTTATATGGCCTCTTCGGATTAGAAAGAGCCTTACCAGTCGAAAATTTTTCGTATAAACGCTTAATGGTGTTCTTAGAAGGCGCACTTCTCACATTTTTTTCACAATTGACTTCTGTTGAATGTAAATTTCAACTATTTCACGCGTGGCGTGTATTGGTTCATGGTAAAAATCTGCTTGGACTGACGCTTCAAACGCGGTATGTCATTAAGCGATGTGACATCTCTTTCAAAAATTATGGCGTTGCCAGATGGGTCCATCGAATATGGGCAACCCTGTAGTTTCAAATTTGATATTTGGATTTCGTAATAGGTTCCACCTTCTCTGACACCTTCTCAGGTTTTCGTATAGCTCCATATAACTGTAATAGTACGTTTAAATACAAATGGGTTAATCCACTGGATTTGCATTAAAATTGTCATATCCATTACTAATCACTTTCGATTTATGCATGTCAGTCCGTCCATTCGTCCGTGTGTCCATGTATTCTTGTGAACAATGCAGGTCGCATTTATTTTTCGATTGAGGTGAAACTTTCCAAACAATATTAGTTTTGGCCAAGGCGAACCCTATTGAAATTGGTGAGAAACGGATCAGATTTAGATATAGTTCCCATATAACGTCAACCGTTTTCGGATTAATTGTGCACTAAATGGCCAGCATAAGTCAAAATGACCTTAATTTTTGCTACATCTGACCGAATTCACAACAAAAGTATGTACATCAAATTTGGTGAAAATCGGTTCAGATTCCGATTTGTCCCTCTGTCACATTCGTAATATGCACTCGACAACAATGATATTTGGTACCAGATATCAGATACAGCCCAGAAATACCACTGCCAAATTGTATCAAGATCGGTTCAGGTTTGGATATAGCTCCTATATATGTCTTCAACCGATTTCGGGTTAATTGTGCACCAAATGGTTAATTGTCAGTCCAAATGTCCTGAATTTTGGCACATCCGCCCGAATTCAGTCTAGAAACAAGTACATCAAATTTGGTGAAAATGAGTTCAGATATAGCTATAACTCCCATATATATGTTTCATCCGACTTGGTATTTAAGTCCCTCACATTCGTAATATGCTTTCGACAACAATGTTATTTGATACCAGATATGTTATAGAGCTCGGAAATACCTCTGTCAAATTTTATCGAGACGGGCTAAAATTTGGATATAGCTCCCATACATATCCTTAAACCGATTTCAGGTTAATTGTGCATATAATGGCTAATATCTGCCCAAATGGAGTGAATTCTGGGACGTACATTTCCATTTGGCGGAACTCTATAGCAATGTTATTTGGAATAAAAGACAAAAGTGTCTCCATCAAATTTAGTGAAAATATATTCAGAATTGGATATGCCTCCCATATATTAGTTCCCTCTGAATCCTCAAAACGTATAACTGACAAGAAATTAACATTTATTTTCGTCGAGAGGTATTGTGAAGATCTTCAAAATATTTACACAACATTTTAAACAACGAGAAAATATCCTAAAGATGAAAGATATAAAAATCTCCATTTTTAGATGTCAAAGCCCAAGAAAATATAACTGAGACAAATAATTGTTTTTACGTGACAAGAAACGTTGAAAATAATAGATTGTTAATTATTTTTTAAAATATGCCACTCGTCATACGTAAATATTTTATATATAATAATAATTTTTAAATTCGATTCAGCCAATGAGTCTGCTTCTTTTGTTTTGCCATGTATTTTTTCCTTTCCTTAATTTGCAATTTAACACGTTTTTTTAAACAAATATATGTGGCATCACTTGTTGTGACACAGGTGTGCAAGTTTTAACGGTTTTATACGCAGAAGTTTGATATACAACACTGTTTCCTGTTTAATAACCCGCCGACTCTCTGCCTTCCTCTCTCTCTCTCTTTCTCTTGCTCTTTCGCTTTAATTCAACGGAATTTATGCTGCATGAGCTTTTTTGTTTTCAAAAGTTTTTGGCTATGTTCATTTTACTGTCAGTGTTAGTTGATGGTCTGCAAGCAAAGTTGTAGCAACTCGTTGTGTGTTCGTTGATCATCGTTGTTGTGTCCACTAGTTCCACTGGACAAATTGCCATCGTTTCCCCCTATCCCGCCCCGTTTTCATATGACGTACATACAATTTTCTTTTTTACTGTGTATGAAAATTATTTAATTTTCAATAATTTCTGGTGTTAAAAGTTTCCGAGGCGTGTGTTCTTTTGTGTGTGTGCGTGTGTTTGCATGGGGATTAGTTGCCTCGTCAGCGTGCAACTAACAAAATAAAAAATAACAATCGTTTTGAATACATAAACAAATGCTTAGAGCAAAGTGACGTATAGAGAAGACGAAGAAGCCAAACCAAGAATCCACAAAACAAGACAACAAACGAATTAATAACGACAACAAACTCTATATTTCAAAGTGGTAGGGGAAGAAAAATTATGTGGCATTAAATAAATTTGGTGGCAACAGATTGTTGCGTAAATTGTGTTGTGTTGCAAGAGAATGAGAAAAATTGTATTGCTTGTGAAAATTATTAAATTTGTTGATGTTATTTCGATGTAAACAAAAAAATTCAAGTCGAAACAATAAACGTGTTTGTGTGTGACAAATTATAACAGAGGACCCCCGAGAGAGAAAGGAGAGCGGGAGAGGATATGAGGCGGTAATTCCATTCTTCAAAATAGTGGCAAAAGTTAAAATAAAAGAAATAGAAAATCTGTGCTTGTGCGTCATCTTCCAGTTTTTTTTCCAACTTCTTCGTCCTTTACGTTTCTCCATTCGTGTGCTGTGTTGCTGCTGCCACCACAGTGCCAAGATTAGGTTGTTGGCCTGTTAACCTAAACTAAAAGAAAACCACCAATCAAACTACTTGCAAATTTGCCTTTCTTTTTCTTTCGTTCGTATCCTTTCTTATTGCCAACAACATTGTGGGTCTTTCTGCTTATAACCTCCCCAAACCGAATTATCGTCGTCACTTAAAGTAAATCGCATAAACTTATAGAGATCCAAGTGATTACTCCCACTGCTCTCCCACCACCACCACCATACACACATACACACTGATACAAATAGGATTTGTTGTTTTTTTTGTGGTGTGAGCGCGTTATTGTTTTCTTGGGAGAAAGGAAGTTTTTCAATTATTCACAGTGTGTGAGTGCATTGTAACGGTTTTAAATTGTGGCGGCGCCACATTATTTCCCCATCGGTCGCCATCATTATCAACAACATCGGTCATGGTGCGTTTAACTCGTAAAGAACGGCAGGACAAAATCAATTTGTTGGCCAGCATCAATAGGGTCAATGGAGATGAATTGGATGCCACAGATAATGGTGAGTACAAAGATATTAGACTTTCTTTTTAATCCTATATTCAAATAGGGAGAAAAAAAACTAAGGAAATACAGTTGCCAAGGGTTCATTTGATTTTGAGGTTCAAGATAGGAATTTACGAGATATCACCCGTCACAAAGGCATCGAAAATAATCATGTGTAATCAGAACCAATATGGCCTTTTTGAGAAGTTATGCATAATAATGGGATCTGTGTTTGAATGCACACTGAAATCGTCAATTACCGAGCTAAAACTATGGATGGAACTGTTCCTAGAAGAGGAAATGTATTAGCCAATAAAAAATGATGTTGAGTGAGAAAGAGACTTCAGCGGAGAAGTCTGTGGTTGTGGTGTACATACTTACCCATGGGCCTTTATATCTGAGATCTTCAGACAGAAGGGGTGAGGCTATAAGTCATATTCTGAGGTGGACGAATCGGTTAAATGGCCTCCACTGAGGAAGTTTAAGAATGGAATCAACCATGTACAGGAGTCTTACAATATTTGCGATGAAGTTGGGCACAAGATTATGGAATGCAGAAAATGTTTTTCTATAACAAGAGCTTAAATGATGATCTATACTTAACCATTTGTGAATTTGCTGTTTCTGTCTATAACAAAAACATATCTGAGATTTTAAGAGAGATTGAGAGAGGCTATAAGTCTATATCCTCAGGAGGACGAACCAGTCAAATGACACCTGCTGAAAGGAAGTTCCATGCTAAAAATATGCCGTCTTTGTCTAGAATACATGTCTGGCAAGAGATTTCTCATGGTGCCAAATGTGCAATTGAATGCATCATACGCTATTGCACTAGAACGAGGTTTAAGCGTGGAAGAACGGCAATGATTTGAGTCATGAACGGACGCCGATTGAAGATGGAAATAAGAATAGAAAGAGTTTAAATGTGGCTTTATCTAAAAAAATAGCTGTCTAATAAATATTTCCCAGCGTTTAGAGAAAGCAAAACGTGAAATGCCGGAACTACGAGTAACGAACATAAAGCTTGAATGTAGCCTGAAGGTTGCAGTAGATGTCAATGTTGACGTTTAATGTTTAGGTTATTGAACATCCAGGTTTAAAGAGACTCAAAAATGAAGGATGATATAAATGAATATAAATGCCGTTATCCTACAAAATAAAGTGCAGGAACTCAAGTCCGAATTGGTGCCTGCTGAGGAGAGAGCACATGCAGTAAGAGTTCAAACTTATCTTAATGAAAAGTCTGGGTATGGAAGTCAAAATGTTTTTGGAGAGCTTGGCAGAATGCCTTGCGCAAAGAGTTAAGAGTTGGAGAATATGAAGTTGAAGTTTTTGGGGAAGAAACAACATAAAAGTCTTGAATGCAGTGAGGCTTTAGATATTTGGGTGAAGCCTTTTTTTCCATCCTTTTTATACCCTACACTACATAGTGGTTTGTGCATTTGTTTGTAACATGGAAGCGAGATAGACCCATACTTACTTTTGAGGATTTTCATAGAATCACTTTCTCAGACGATTTATGCATGTCAGTCCGTGTGTCCGTCTGTCCATGTCCGCCTAGTGAACAAAATGCAGGTCGCATTTGTTATCCAATTGAGATTAAAGGGATTTAAGCCTGATCATTTTGCAACAACAAAATACTATGGTATCCCGTACAAACAAGCCAACACTGCTCCCATATATCTTCAACCGATTTCGGGTCAATTGTGCACCAAATGGCAAATATCAGTCCAAATGACCCGAATTTTGGTACATCCAACCGAATTCGGTATAGATGCAAGTACACCAAAGCTATAGCTCACATATATATGTTTCATCCAATTTGGGTTTTAAGTCCCTCACATGCGTAATATGCACTCCACAAGAATGATATTTGGTACCAGACATCAGATTCAGCTCATAAATACCTCTGCCAAATTTTATCAAGATCGGTTTAGATTTTGATGAAGCCCCTGTATATATCTTCAACCGATATCGGGCTAATTGTGCACCAAACGGCCAATATCAGTACAAATTACCTGAATGTTGGTACATTCGACCGAATTCAGTCTAGAAGCAGATAAAGCAAATTTGGTGAAAATCGATTCAGATATAGCTATAGCTCCTTTCATCTGATTTGTTGTTTCAGACCCCCACATTCGTAATATACACCCCACAAGAATGATGATTGGTATCAAATATCAGATACAGCCCAGAAATACCTTTGCCAAATTTTATCAAGATTGGTTCAGATTTGGATATAGGTCCCATATAGATCTTCAACCGATTTCGGGTTAATTATGCACCGAATGGCCAATATCAATCCAAATTGTCTGAATTTTGGCACATATGACCGAATTAAGTCTAGAAGCAAGTACAGCAAATTTGGTGAAAATCGGTTCAGATTCATTAGTTCCCTCTGAAACTAAACTATAACTGCTCTAAAACCAAATGTTGATGGGTGGTGTGATCTTCTTCAAATAAATTCTTTTGTTACGGGAGTCCTACTAAATATGCATAGTGGTGTAGGGTATCATATAGTCCGACACGCCCGACTTTTGACTTTTCCTGTTTTGATATTAAAATAGTGTGGTTAAGTCCCTGTCAAAAAGTACACTTCTTCTCATCCATGTAAAGATAAGTCCCTCATCGTTGGAGGACATATAAAAGGTCATATAACAATATTCAGATGAATGATCAACTTTCTCAAAAATGTAAGCAGAATTAACTTAAATGGAAACGAAAATGTATTTCCTTATTTATTGTATCTTTTACAAAGATACACTGCATCAATCAGCTCAATCTCATATAGATTTGGGCACTCGACATTCGTCTGTTCGTTTGGCGGGTGTGAATATTTTTAACTTTTGATTGCTGCCATTTGTCTATTTGACGCCTTGCTGTTATGGAATATTAAATGTCTTATTTTTAGTTAAAAACAACAAAACGAATACACGAAAAACATACACTAGACAACATAAATGATGAATATGTTAAATATCAGGTGTATACTCGTAATAAATCTTCTTCTTCTTCTTCTATATCTATAAAAGAGGAAAATGTTTGTATGTTTGTTTGTTTGTAATTTATGGACTCGACAACCGCTGAACTGATTTTCCTGAAAATTTGCATGTATACTGCAACATCGCCTGAAAGTAACATAGGCTATATATATTTTTTTGAAATCTCCACTTGGAAGTGGAGATATAGCATCAGAATCGGAGGTACCTCCTAAAAATTTAGATTTTGTATGCACATAACTATTGATCAATTACAGATATAGTCTCCAAATTTGGAATATAGTCTCCAAACGGAATTTGGAACAAAAATAAATTTGCCAAATTATATTGAAATCGGTTCAGATTGGGATATAGCTCCCATATATATTTTCGGCCGATTTCAAGCATTTGATGCACCAAACACGCTATGTATCCCAAATTTCAATGAAATTTGAAACGTGTGAGAGATTTTATCTAAAAAATTGATTTCCCAAATTATATTGAAATCGGTTCAGATTTGGATATAGCTTCCATATATATTTTCGACCGATTTCGTTCATTTGATGCCTCAAACACGATGTGAATGTTCGATTCCAATGAAATTTGGAATGTTTAACGGGATTTGATCCGAAAATAAATTTATCAAATTATATTGAAATCGGTTCAGATTTGGATATAGCTCCAATATACATTTTCGGCCGATTTCATGTATTTGGTGCACCAAACACGATATGTATGTCCAATTTTAATAAAATTTAAAATAAGTAACGAAATTGGGAGCAAAAATGAATTTGTCAAATTATATTGAAATCGGTTCAGATTTGGATATAGCTCCCATATATATCTTCAACCGATTTCGTTTATTTGATGCACCATACACGATATGTATGTTCGATTCCAAAAAATTTGGAATATGTGACGGGATTTGGATTAGAAAATAAATTAGTCAAATTATATTAAAATCGGTTCAGATTTGGATATAGCTCCCATATATATTTTCCGCCGATTTCACATATTTGATGCACAAAACACGATACGTATTTTGGTACAAAAATAAATTTGACAAATTATATTCAAATTCGCTCAGATTTCATTAAAGCTCCCATATATATTCTCGGCCGATTTCACATATTTGATGACGAGAGAGACGAAATCTGGCATCAGAAAAAAATTGCCAAATTATATTGATATCGGTTGAGGTTTGGGTATAGCTAATATATATATTTCGACCGATTTCATACATGCTATGCACCAAACACGATATATATGACCGATTCCAATGAAATTCAGAATGTGTGGCGGAATTTGGTTACAATAAATAAATGTGATAAATTAATTGGAAATTAGTTAAGATTTGGATATAGCTCCCATATATACATTCACGGACGATTTCACATATTTGATGCACCAATTTCAACGAAATATGAAAGTTGTGGCGGAATTGGGTGTAAAAGTACATTTTTTAAAAATATATTTAAATCGGATCAGATTGAGATATGATTTTAATAAGAACCATTGACCCACAACGCCTTAGGCTAACACTAAAAAACAACACAACAGTTAATTTGAAATACGCTTATTACGGGGAAGTATGTTTCTACCTCGAATTCACTAACTGCAATAGAAAAGCCACTTAACTTCAAAAAATTGCAGTTTCCTGCACGCTTGGTATTTGCTATGAAATAAATAAATCCGAAGGACAAACCCTTCGAGTATGCATGTCATGTTACTGCTTATCTAATGGTTTTGTTTATTAACACATTAAAGTAGTGCAATATTTTTTTTTAATTTATTAAATTTGTTTTTTTTTTTTTTTATCCAACATATATTCGTAAAAAAAATTTTGAATGCATATAAAATCAAAAGTGGTAGCGAAGCGCACCGGGTTCAGCTAGTGTCTTATATTTTTGAATCTCAGACAACTGGATTGAGTTTGATACGAATGCTTCAACGAGACGTAAATGGCTTTCAAACTGAGTGGAAATAAACTTACAGTCTTTACTGTAAATGCGTTGCCAAAAAAGCCGAACTAATCCAAACGCAATTGATGTGAAGAAACTGATACTGGACCAAAAATTGTCAAAAAAATAGCATTTAAATAATTAAATAATTAGGAAAGAAAGTAAATGTCCCTCGGGAGTTTCGGACGAAGTCGTTGGGATAAATAATTTTCCAAATCAACTGTTTGAAAACTTTTACTTTTAAGTGTACGCTTTATATGTATGCATGCCAGCTTGAATGTTTTTTTATTTATTTAATTTTATGCCGTAATAAAGCAAGACACACTCACAAAATGTTGATGAAGATAATTAAAATATTTTTTGTATTTTGTTTTGAATTTCTTTTGCCAGATGCTTACAAAGATGGTGGTGTCGATGGGAAAGCACCGAAATTGGAACGTTCTTCAACAAATGAAATATTTCTCAAAGGTCTGTTGCTGAGCAATCCATCAACGCCGAACAAAGAACTTTTGGTAAGTTGTAAATTTTTATTTCTTTTTTTTCGTTTGGGAAAATTCTTATAATGTTATGCGACTATTTCCGCTGTCATACTTTCACTGCGGAAGTGCTCCAACGGTAGAATGTCACTCCAGCCAAAGCATAGAATTGTTGTTCCCATCCATCCACTGGTAACGGGCATTTTAATTGACCCATATTTTTCCAGAGGTATTTTGACATTCGACATTGCGTGTCTGTCTGTCTGTCTGCCCCTGCCTGCATGCTTTAATGCCATGCTCGCTTTATGCTTTTAGCCGTTTGTTTATGTTTCTTGTTTTGAGTTGTGGGCTACCCCAATTTAGGTTTGTTTACGAATGAACTTTTGAAGCAAAAGAGGTGAAAAAATAAATGTGATTTTTTTTTGATAAAGTCATTGAAACGGCAGAGATTTCGGAAGCAATTAAAACAATTTATTGGGGTAATGGAGGGAAATTAAGGCGTGCTGGAACAAATAAAAATTTTGTTTTGGGTCCACCATAAGTGGAACGGTTTTTTTTAGGATTTTCGTAGAAGCTCTGTCGTGTTAGTCTTCTATAGATGGAAATGGTTACGTCTTCCGAAGAGAAGTTCACCGTTCGAGGAAGGTTTCTATGGAATGTATGCCAGAAGACGTCATCTATGGAGAAGTTCTTCTAGAGGTCTTCTTTTGGTAAGACCTTCTTGAGGCCTTCTTTCGGAAATACCTTGTTAAGGTCTTCTATATAGAAGACCTTTTTGAAGTCTTCTTTCGGGAAAATCAAGACGACCTTTTTGAGATCTTCTATAGAGAAGGCCTTCATCAGATTTTCTATAGAGAAAATCTTCTATAGGGAAGATCTATATAGAAAATTTTCTATAGAGATGATCTTCCACTATACAAAGAAGACCTTCTTCTTCCGACCTTCTACAGAGAGAACTGCTTCTTGAGGTCTTCCATAAAGAATTTCTTGAGGTCGTCTATCGGGGGTTTTCCATCAAGAAGGTCTTCTATTGAGAAGAATCACATTTTCTACCGAGAGGGCTAATTACTGTTCCTCTGTCGAGAGCACCACCATATGGTCTTCTGTCGAGAAACCATCCTGTCTTCTATCGGAAATACCAGCTTCTGGTCCACTATCAATAAGGTCCTCTATCGAGGACCTTCTATCAAGAAGGTCTTCTATGGAGAAGACTCACATTTTCTACCGAGAAGACTTTCTTCAGAAGACCAACTACTGGTCCTCTGTCGACAGGACTGCCATCTTGTCTTCTATCGAGAAGATCAGTTTCTGGTCCACTGTCAATAGGACCACCTACCTACTGGTCCCATCGAGAAGACCTGCTTCTTCTCCTCTATCGGGGAGACCAGGTTCTGATCGTCTATAGAAAATACCGGCTTCTGGTATTTTATAGAGAAGACCGATTTCTGGTCTTCTATAAAGAAGACCGGATTCTGGTCTTCTATAGGAAAGAACGGTCTTTGGTCTTCTATCGAGAAAAGCACAAACTGGACCTCTATCTGGTCTTCTATTGAAATACCATCTCTGATCTTCAGTAGAAAAGACCCTTTTCTGGCCATGTATCGAGGGAAATACCGTCTGTTCTTCTATCGAGAAGACTTTCTTCTGGTCTTCCACTAGGAGGCCCTTTCTGGTCCTCTATCGAAAAGACCATCTTAAGGTCTTTTAAGAAAAATATTACTGTCTGGTCTCCTTTCGAGAAAACCTTTCCTTCTGCTCCTCTACCGAAAAGACTTTGCTCTAGTCGAATCTATCTTCTTCTATAGAGAAGACCTTGTTCTTCTCGCCCTCAATCGAGAAAACATTATTCTTCTGGTCTTCTATTAAGAAACACTTTTATCGAAAAGACCCCCTTCAGATCTTCATGTCGATAACCTTATTTAGGTCCCCTATCGAGTAGACGTGATATTCTCAGGTCTTCCGTTGGAAGAAGACCTTCTCCGGTCTACTATGAGATGAAGACCTTCCTCTCTCTCCCTGAGAACAAGATCTTCTTCAGGTCTTTTCTGAAAAGAAGGCCTTCTGCCGACCTTTTTCAGGACTTCTATAGGAAGAACACTTCATCAGGACTTCTATAGCAAGAACACTTCATCAGGTCTTCTATGGAAAGAAGACCTTCTTCAGTTCTTATATGATAAAAAGACTTCTTCTTGTCTCCTGCGAATATGACATTCTTTAGACATTCTCTGAGAAGAATACCTTCTTCAGGTCGTCTATGGAGAGGACGTATTTCTTCAGAATACCTTCTTCTTCACACCTTCTTAATAGAGAAGATCACCTTCTTGTCTTCCAACGAGAAGACTTTGTTTATGCCTTCTTCGGACATGGAGAGGCATTCTTCACGATTTATTCACATATTTATGGACAGAATACAGTTTTCTGTTTCAGACAGAATAAATATTTCAGATCTTTTTCTTTCTTTCACGTTAAGATTTTTATGTATAGAATTGCCTCAATTTTCTCTCGATGCTTTCTCCTCTCTCTACCACAAAATTTCCAGAGATTTTTTTCGTTATTCCACATTCTACATAAATATATCACATTATATATCATCTGACCACCATCATCATCATTACCATTAATAACAAATTGCTGGAGATTCATGAGCTCCCTACATGGCCGTCATTACTCACCACCAACATCACCACTGAGTACATAAACAAAATTCACTTAACAATGTGGTTTTCCTCAGAAATTGCAAACCTCCAGCCATCCATCACAACAAAAAAAAAAGAAAGAACAACAATTCCAAATCACGCAAATTTCAAACATGTGATGGCGTGACCTTTGACTATTTGGAAAAACTAGTGATTTTTTCGATTAGTTATACTCTGCTCTCCTCCATTTCATTCCTCTCTTTTTTCTATTTCTTTACCATCCGTCAGCAGTGAAAGTAATTAAGAGAACACTTTACATGTTTAAGCATAAAATTAACACAAATAGATTTATCAAATGATAAGATGACGACAACACACGGAGTGGGTGGTTGGATGGATGGATTGTCTGGTGGGCAGGTGGGTGGTTAGTTGCCTGGCTGACAGATTGCCTGACATGCATTCAGTGAATAATTAGTTCAAAAATTTATCGTGCCCATGGGTCAGATGACTAATTTACATATTCATTTATATTCGGGTATGATTTTGCATGTCATATTCATGTGAAAATGGATGTGAGGTGGCGAGAGGAGATTTCGAGAATAGTGGCTAAATAATTCATAGGTTTTTGTGGACATGAAATATCTATCATCAGGGAATGTGTCATATTTTGGTGACAAGAAAATTCTGGCATTGATGGAATATTTTTATTTCTTGGACAACTTTTTTCTATAACTAAAGATATCATATTAAACTTCGACTAAATATTCCAATTGGAATATAATTTTTTTGTATTAATCCTAGAACTTGCAATAATCCAAAATTCCTCTTAGAATATGTTTCAACGGTATCATATAATTGAAAATTTATCCAAAGAAAATAAATTCCTATTAAAATTGGAATTTACATTAAAAATCTCAAAGTGGCGCCCAACATAAAATTTCAACACAAGACAGGTCATGACTTCCCTAAGTTATTGGACCTTAAATTCTGTAACACTGAAATTGGCAGACCTTATTCTGAGGCTGGACACCTTTGACGAGTCTTTTTTATATAGGTGATCTTATCTATATATCGAAAACTTGTTAAAACCTTCCCTAAATGATCTCCAATAGGCGATAAGCCTCATGTTGCATTGCATTTGGTGAATAATTTTGCTCATGCCATACAAAATTGGAAGCAGATTGTAGGTATAGTAATATGTTTACAGCAAAGAAGTAAATACGCCTTTGAACATGGCGCCCAACGTCAAATGCAAACCAATCTTAAATTGATAGATGGATACTATTTGTTTATCCAATTAACAAATTCCTAATAAAATTCAGTAAAACATAGGAAAATCTTGATTTGACGCCCAACGTAAAATTCAAGCATAACACATATCCATAAAAGAAATTTGAAAGTTAACTTCGGCCAGTGAACAATGTCGCTAAAATCATCATAATATCGAATATAGGTAGGTACCGTTATATGGGGGTAATAGCTTATCTTCGAACTTAACCCGATATAGCTCATCTTCGAACTTAACCTGCCTGCAGTCAAAACACTGATCTGTGCAAAATTTTAGCTTTCTACCTTAATTAGTTTGGACTCTAGCGTGATTACAACAGACAGGCTCACGGACAGACGGAAAGGTCTATCGGGTCTAGGTCTATCATGATTATTTTGAGAAGTTATAAACGGAATAACAATGAATGGTGGAGGGGCTCCATAGAATGGTGGAGGGAATAAAAAGAAGTTAATGGTTTTCCTAGCTAATCAAAGGGATAAGCTGGGGCCAGAGAGTCTTCATAGACGATCTGGAAGGCTAGGGAGTCTTCATAGAAGAGCTAGAGTAACAGGGAGTCTTTATGGACGAGCTGGAGTAACAGGAAGTCTATTTCCATAGACGAGCTGGAGTAACAGGGAGTCGATTTCCAGAGACGAGCTGGTCGGAAGACCAGAGGGTCTATTCTCAAAGACGAGCCGGTCGGGGTGATTCGGGTAGTGGCGATGGGCCAGTAAGTCTATTTCCATAGACGAGATGTTCACGAGGGACAGAAAATCTTTTTCTTAGACGAGCTATTCGCGAGGGCCAGGGAGTATATTTCCATAGACGAGCTGATCGCGGGGGCTAGGGAGTTTATTTCATAGATGGAAGTTTGTTTAGTCTCTAGAGACTAGTTAGAGAACGAGGTCTATGAATAGAACACCTGAAGGTTCAGGGAGTTTATAAAGCGAGTTCGAGGCAGGTGGCAGCCAGGGGTCGAGAAAAACTGAGCTGAGGGCCTTAGAATCGGAAGAGGCGTGCTGTAGGTTAGTGAGTTGGTGGACGGGTTTTGAAGGTCAGATAATCAGTCTATAGAGCGAGTTTAAGGCCCAGGTGACATCAGGGGTTGAGATATGAGCTGCAAGGTCAGGGTG